GGGCCACCGAGTGGTAGCTGTCCAGGGTGGCCAGCCTTCATAGCGCGATGGTGACCCTCTTGTTTACGGGGATGGGTGCCCACAGCTGGGTGGTGGCTCTCTGGAGCGCAGGGGCGAGCCAGGCACACAGCTCCAGGAAGCTCTGCTTTCGCAAGCGAAAGTTCCAGAGCCATTGCTGGTCACCCCATTGCCCAAGGACCAGCCGGTGCCACCAGTCCGTACTGGTGTCCAATCTCCAGACTGGCCTCTCCACGGTGGGGTGCTGATGCCACAGGAACGCCATGGCCTCCCTGGTGAGGGAGTCGAAGGCAATCTGTGCCTCCTGGTCCTGAAACACGAAGGCACCAGCCTGGAGCACCAGCTGCAGGCACTTGAAAATGGCCGCCAGGGGCCAGAGCAGGCACATGGCCACCCACGGCTCCATGGCAGACAGAGCAGGGCACAAGAAACCAAAACCAGGAAAAAGCAGTAGGGGGCAAAAGGGTGGTGTCCCCAAAAGTCAGAGGTCAACCACCAAACCTGCTATGGCTGTCAGTCCCTGCCAGAGGTCCTAATGAACGGAGCAGGAGACAAACGGCTGTCCGGTGAGACCCCTTTAAGCACGTGTCTGAACAGAGCTCCAGCCCTGCCCCCGGAAAGGGCTGGTGGCCTTTTGCCCTCTTCAAAATGGTTCTGGGCTTCTGCTTTTGCGCAAAAGCGTGCCGCCAATCTAGACGCAGTGTTTCGGCAGCTGTGGATATTTTTTCAGTAGAGTGGATTCTTAAATGTATATAATTTAATGTATTCTATACATTGGTGTTACATTTTATTTATAGTAAATCATACCTCACTGAAAGACATTATCATATAGTATGTATGCCTACCTCTGTTGTAAATTTAGAATAGTGGCTAACAAAGCCATTTAATGTGATATTATAAAGGTAATATGCACAGATTATTACTTTTTTAATTCAAATGTAATAAAAATATGAAATTTCTTTAAAACTAGCACTAAAAGACTAAAATATATGAAAAGCATAATTGTTGACCTTCATAGATGCATTCTCTCAGCATGATAAAAATAAAATGATTAATTTACTACCAGATAAACCAACTATTCAGTTAAATATTCTATTTATTGAACCATAAAAATGTTTTCCTCCTCAGTTTAGCTCCAAACTAACTGAAGATCTAACCTGCTGTTCAGTTCTTTCAGTTACTTTAAGTTGCATTTTAAATGTTTTCTGAAGTAGAGTGCCTTACCATGGTTGTCTCTGCGATGGATCCAAAGCTGTTTATAAATATATTACATGTGACGTTAACTGGAGGGCCTACAAAAGAAAAAAAAATATTATGTGACCATCAAAATATGTTTGACTAAACTATGATGAAAACAAGGACTTAATCATTTGGGAAGAAGAAAAAGATGACATTCAGTGCTTCTTTTTAAGTGATGCAAGAGTATTTTTTAGTGTAGGTTTAACTGTTTAATAGATTTTTGTTTAGTTCTCTTTTTACAAAGATTCCTTAACTGTCCTGTAATTTGTAGAAATCCCAGTTAGGGCTCAGGAAAGAGAAGGGAGATCATCATGTCTTCAAAGAAGATGCTATGCAAAAGTGAATGTGCTTTTTGTTGAATTGTTCTATATCACCTAACACAATCAAGGGTCTACATGCCAGTTTTAGTAGAACAGAATATTTATCATAGTTCTCCTTTATAGCATCCAGGAAAAAAGTAACTGTTTACTTGACAGATTTGCTGTTTTTGAGCCTTTTGTATGCCAGTTAGTAACAAAAGCACATTATTACAACTTTTTGCTCCTGGTAGCAAACATGGCTAAGAAAAAAATGAGCTAGTATATTCCATTTTATGTGATAGCCACATTTTCTCAATTGCTTCCATAACTTATTTATTCTCTTAATTAGTGAAAAAAAAAACATTTTTTCTTTTAACTGAGAGCTCTATCATCGTTGTTATTATATAGCTCAGTTTTGAATTTGAAAGCCAAGCTGGGTTCTTTTCTTGTTTGCAGTGACCAGTAATAAAAGTCACAGATCTGGAATTTAAGACCCAAATTAATAACAAGAGTAGTGTTCAACTATCCTGAGTAGTCCCACTGAAGTTACAAGCAGTTTTGTCATTGCTGATGCTTTACTGCAGATTTACATCAACAAGACTACTGCTGTAATAAATATTTGAAGGATCGGCACCTTTGTTAACAAAATTCTGCTGATGATCATGGACTAGAATAGAATCCAGCTCGCCTTTCAATTGTCTTGGCTCTGCAGTGAAGTACAGGAACAAAACAGTGCTAAAAGATATCCTTCTCAGTAAAGTAAACGGAGATGAGTACACAGAGGAAACAGATCTGTTGAACAAAAAGGTACCAAGTTTTCAGTCACTTTGACTGTGGTGACCTTTTAATTTACTAATGTTAAAGATTAAAGCTTTTTAATCTTGTCTGATGTTTCTTGACTTTCAATATAAGATAAGACTGGGGCCAAGCAGGGTGCGTGTGGGGGAGGGAATGGTAAGGTAACTTCAGGGAACTATATTTAATGGCTGCCACTGGGCTATCCAATGTGTGCGTGCATGTAAATTCCAGTTCAGCGATATATCACTTCTGTATATATTAGCACATTCTACTATTTCCAATTCAGTATGCTACTGTCTGCTTCAAAACAGAACATCATGAAATTTCATAGTGTACTCAAGGGCATATCGGCTATTAAAAAATAAAACAAGTGATGCTAAATTGTTCTGGATCTGATGCACAGTTCCATAATTAAAAATGAGGAAAATATTTAAGTATAATACCTTGCCTATCAAATACGGAAACCAAGAGATAGATACATAGATATACATGCAATTGGTAGTCAAAGAATATATTATCTGCAATGCCTAGGGATTTTAATAAAAAAAAGATTCAATTTCCTATTAATACCAGGGTCTGTGATTTCATAGTACTACTTGTTTCACATATTAAAATTGTTAATAAATTACAAAGTTCAAATGACATGAAGAGTCATTTGGCCTTACTTGTTCTTAGAGCAGGGATGGGCACCCACAAATGTGGGTGGGCCACATGAGTGGCCACAGCAGCCTATTGGGGTTCCAGCTAAAGCCCTGTGGCCCACCTCCTGCCTCCCTCCGCCACGCGCCTCTTGCGTAGCCCCACACTTCCTACTCCTCCATCTCCCTCCCAGCAAATGGCCTGATTCACACTCCATCCCTGGTCCTCCCCCTCCCTTGGAGAGCTGGAAACTCACAAATGGCTGATTCACAGCATTCCAGCTCTGGGAAAGAGGATAAGGAGTGTAGATGGAGCATGAATCAGGCAATTTCCTCTGAAAGTGCCGGGAGGGAGGGGGAGGAGTAGGTAAATGGAGGGCTCCAGTGCCCCAGTGCATGACATGAATGGGGGAAGGGGACAGCCAGGGGGTCCAGAGGCTGCAGATGGAGCCCCAGTGGTCCTGCCTATTGGGATGCTTTCAGAAAGTGGGGATAGGGGGCTGCTGCTTGAACCCATGGCGATTATGCTACAGTGTCCCGCAACTTCCATCTGTCCCCATATGCTGTTTAACATCTACATGAAGCCAATGGGAGAGTTCGTAAGGACATTTAGAGGATTGTGTCATCATTATGCAGATGACACCCAATTCAGTGGCCAGGAGTGCTGTTGGGCAGCTTTGGCTGATCTGCCAGCTGCAACCCTTCCTGAATAAGAACAGCTTGGCTACAGCGATCCATGCTCTTGTCACATCCCATTTGGATTATTGTAATGCACTCTATGTGGGGCTGCCTTTGAAGAGTCTTTGGAAGCTTCAACTGATCCAGAATGCAGCTGCTTGAGTTTTAAGTAATACTTGTAATATGGAGAACATTATGCTGGTGTTCCAGCAACTATACTGGCATCCAGCATGTTTCGAGGCACAATGCAAGGTCGTGGTTATGACTTATAAAGCCCTATATGGGTTGGGAATGGGGTATTTGAAGGACCTTCTCATACAAACTCACCCAGGGATTGAGATCAGATGGGGAGGCTCTGCTCCCTGTTCCTCCACGTAGGAAGATTAGATTGACATCTACGCGGAGCAGGACCTTCTCAGCCTTTGCCCGTAGGCTATGGAATTCTTTCCCCTGAGACATTCGCCTGGCTCCAACATTGGCGCTGTTTCAGAGCCAGGCTAAAGCCACCCTGTTTACCTGTGCATTTATTGGTGTTGGAGGGTGAGGGGTGCTCCTTCTCTTGAGGTGTTTTAGCTGGTTTTATGTTCCCCTTTTGGGGTCCTGTATTGTACTTATATTGTGTTTTTTTAAAAAAAAAATTTGTAAGCCACCTCAAATATTTTAAATAGAGAGGCATGGTAAAAAAAAAAATGAAATATGAAAAAATCTTTAGCTGTGAACATCTTATGTGTCCTTTTAGTTGTTTAAATGTTAGTAAATACATATTACACTCAAATATTAAAAGAATCCTAAACTTTAGTACTACTTTGGTTAGGTCTTGAGATGCCAAACTTCAACAAAGAGTAGACCATGGTTTTGCTGAAATTTCAATTATCAAAGCCAAGGATAACTGAAAATGGCTGAGTACATTTGTTTTGCTTTTAAATTTTTTTCCAAAACACACATTTGCATCAAAGACAATGTTAAATTAAACTGAATTAGGTTTCAAAATTACCTTTGAAATTTGGTCTGATTCTTGCATCATAGCCTGACATCCTACCCATTAATTTATCCAGAAAATCAGATGGCGACATTGGCATGCTACGAGATCTTGCACTGTCTGTTTCCTTTGTGGCTACCAAGCTAAAAACAAAAACAAAAAACACTTTATTAATAATAATTTATAGTAATATTTAAGTACCTAATAATGTAGTCACTTTGTCCATCAATATTAAAACAGATCAATTCAAAGGTAAAAATGTCTTTTTAAATTAAACATTAATAGAATTATTTTAATTTGCATATGTGAAAACAGTGTAGTCTGATTACATCCATTCTGTTATATCTAATTTTTTCTAAATTTCCTTTCAAACTGTATTATCACTTCTTTTTTTTTTACTGAGGCTTCTCAACATTAATATTTCTAATCAACCCTAATGGATTTTCTTCACAAAATTGGAATAGTAGATCACAATGTCAGCTACACAAATATCTATAAATCCCAAAAGCCATTTTTTGGAAAGTGCTCTATGATTAATGCATTTAACTGAGTTGTTTATAATGGAAACTTGTATCAAAGAAACTTAGATTGGGATCTCTCATGTTACTGCTAACAGGCACAACCCTTTTTTATATTGTTAATTGAATGTTTTATGGTGAATCTATGAAGATGATACTAGGTAGTTCATTCACAATTTTTCCCTATAACATCCGCAATGAGGTTCATTTTCCTCTATAGCAGAAGTGACTATTGCAATGGAATAAAACATAATGAAAGGAACTATGGGTATGTCTACACTACAGCACTAATTCAAACTAACTTAATTCGAATTAGTTAATTCGAACTAAGCTAATTCGAACTAGTGCATCTAGACCTAAAAACTAGTTCGAATTAGCATTTTGCTAATTCGAACTAGCATGTCCACATTGAGTGGACCCTGAACCAAAGTTAAGGATGGCCGGAACAGGTGCCGGCAGAGTATGAGGTTAGGACTTAGAGTGTCGAGCTGCTGCCTCAAGCTAGCTGAGGGCTGTGCTTAAAGGGACCCGACCCCCACCCCGGACAGACAGGTCTCAGGGTTCCCCGCTTGCTTGTCTACCTCGATGAGGGACAGCAAAGCAGTCCTGTCTTGGAGTGCCCTGAGTGCCCACACTCGGCACATCACAGCACTCGGCCATCAGCCCGGCTGCACTTGCCGCAGGCTGCCATCCGGGGGGTCAATTGGGGGGCTGCAACCCTGAGGAGCCCGCAGAGCCACCCCAGTCCTCCCCAT